TATCCTCATTCCTGATTTTATCCCTTCTTGTGTGCCCGCCAAACCAACGCAACATCCGCATCTCTGCTACACTTAGTTGTTATACATGTTGCATTTTTGTAGGCCAACATTCAGCATCGTATAGCATCGCCGGTCGAATCGCCGTCTTATAGAACTTACCTTTTAGCCTTTGTGGCACCCTCTTATCACATAGAACGCCTGAAGCTTGACGCCATTTCAACCAACCGGCTACAATTCTATGCCTAACATCTTCATCAATGCTGCCGTCCTTTTGTAGCATCGATCCTAAATACCGGAAAGTCTCCTTCTTGGCCACCACTTTCCCGTCAAGGCTAACGTCACCATCACCATGAGTAGCCATGCTGAAAGCGCACGTCATGTACTGCTCTTCGTCCTACTAAGTCTGAAGCCTTTCGACTCTAACGTGTCCTTCCACAACTCTAACTTCCTATTTACCCCTGCTCTACTCTCGTCAATTAGCACCACATCATCAGCAAATAGCATACACAAAGGGATATCATCTTGTATGTCCCTTGTGGCCTCATCCATCATCAAGGCAAATAAATAAGGGCTCAATGCTGACCTCTGGTGTAGTCTATTTTAATTGGGAAGTCGCTGGTATCGCCCTTACATGTTCGGACACACGTCATCGCATCCTTGTGCATATCCTTGATGAGGGTAATGTACTTATATGAGACTTTGTGCCTTTCTAAGGCCCACCACATGACATTCCTCAATACTCTGTCATAAGCCTTCTCAAGGTCGATAAAGACCATGTGCAAGTCCTTCTTTTGGTCTCTATATCTCTGCATCAACTGTCGTATAAGGAAAATCGCCTCCATGGTCGACCTTCCAGGCATAAATCCAAATTGGTTTTGGGTCACACTCGTCACTCGTCGTATGGGATGCTCGATAACCCTCTCCCAGAGCTTCATCGTATGGCTCATCAACTTAATCCCACGGTAGTTACCACAGCTTTGAACATCACCCTTGTTATTGAAGATCGGTACTAAAGTACTTCTCCTCCATTCATCAGACATCTTGTTTGACTGGAAGATGAGGTTTAAAAGCTTAGTTAGCCATACTAACGCTCCGGCGCCCAAGCATCTCCACACCTCAATGGAGATACCATCAGGGCCCATTGCTTTACCACTCTTCATCCTCTTCATAGCCTTTCTCCGATCTCTGCCTCTCGGATTTTCCTCACAAACGTCTATTGGTATCCTCAAATGAGTCAATCAACTCCAGGGTAGGACCCTCACTCTCCCATTAAACAATTTGTCGAAATACTCATGCCATCTATCCTTGATCTCCCCATCATTCACCAGTGACCGATCCGACCATCCTTGATGCATTTAATTCGAACCAATTTTGAATTATTGTGTAATATTATCGAGTCAAAATATAAAAACTCGAATACTCTATACAAAATAATTTTATAATATTAACAATTATACTCAATTAATTTAAGTTTGTGATATGTGATGATCGTTCTCAATCAGCTAGGGCTCCTATTTGTGATTTTTGAAGGACCTCAGATGGTAAATCGTAAGCTTCCCAGCTGAAGCTGATAGCGATAGACTAATCTCTATCTATCTACTACGAATTAATCCACATTTTTCTGAGGCGAAATTCACCACAAAGAACTAGGTCACGGCAGCCATGGATGGCGACCTTGAAATCTCACTCGACAAGCTCCCGATCAAACGGCTCGAAGCCATTGAAGAAAACGGCTTCGAACGCTTCCCCTCGTAAGTCTTATCGAACTCCTCCTCGCAGTATGTTAATTCATGTTCGAAAATCTGATCCATGAACGGAATTTTGCGCGTAATTGTGTGAAACAGCGATGTGGGATATGACGAGAAGAGAGTGAATTTGATACGAAGAATCGATTTTGCCTGGGCGGTGGAGAGAGAGGATCCCAGTAAGAAGCGGAAGGCCGAAGGTACAAGTGCTTCTAAGGAAGGTGCAACCACCAATCAGCAGCAATGGCAGTGGCAGGGTATGGTGGAGAACCTGCAGTTAGCTCACCAGGAGCTCTCTGTCATAATCGACCTCATAAACACGGTAAATTTGTTTTAGGTATTTGTTTCTGAATGGGGAATCCAGTTTGCTTGAGTGTATTTTGAACTGGGAGATACATTTCGTATCATTTCACGGAAGTAATGTGTGCTAATATGCCCGAGTTTAGTTTTGCAGCTCAGGCGGTTCCTGTTATGAGAATGTCACACATTTTGGGCCACTTTTGATGCAAATTCTCTATCGAAGCTACTTTTTTTATTCAACAGTATTATTGCGAGCATATCTCTATATGGATAGGTTGTTGAATTGAAATTTAGAGCATAGGAAACAGCTGCGGTGTATTGGGCTTCTTTAGGATTAATCACGGTTTTGTGATGTTTTATGTTGGTGTACTTGTATCTGCATAATCTTCATGGGTAGCAGTTATTGGCAATTAATTAGTTTTTCGACGAGGCAATTTGAATTTTGGATTTTGCATTAGCATGGGTTTAGTTTCAGATGCTTGTGTGCTTTGGTCTATTTATTTCTTGACATGTTACCGAAATATCCTTTGCTACTTTGGTGAACTTATTTTAAGACTCCACAAGCCTAGATGCGTACAGTAGTTGCAAGTATTTTATGTCTTATTAATTTACTTTCATGCCTTATTTTATAGTGCCTAGCCATTTTTTTGCATACTTCTCACACCTTCTCCACCTCTAAAAGATTGCCAGTTGTGATGTAAGCATACCATTTAAATTTCGGTTAGGACGTTCTCGACCTCTTAGAAATTGCTAGTGTGATGTAAGCACACCAATTAGATTTCAGTTAGGCTATTTGTTTTTACAGAAAGCCAGAAATCCAATTCAAAAGTTTACGTATTTCCTGCTTGTCTATTGTCCACATTCAGGTAGAGGCCAATGATGCTGTAACAGTTGCAGGCATGACACGCCCAAAGCAGTTACCAAATGAACATTTGTCTGACCTTGCTGTGTCTACAGCGACCAAGCTGCAAAGCTTCCGGGTTTTCTTAAACTTCATAAACTAGAGTATTTTTTTGATTGTTTTGATTTTTGTATAAGCAAATATATTCTTAAATTTCATTTTATTTTTATTGTAAAATCAGTTATTATATAAATATATCGAAACTATTCTGACAAGACTTATTTCCCGTCATGGATTCTAGCTTTTTGTATTATGTTGTGTGGATCTTTGGTAATTGCAATGTAAATATTGTATTGACCCCTACTTTCTGGCATTTAATTAGGAGTATGCGCATCTTTCCTAAGATCTTCAGTTGAATTGCAGAATCTTGGAAAATACTTCAAGCAGTCTGCCAAAGCACTGGAAGAGAAAATAGAGAGAGAAGCCCGATTTTATGGTGCCCTCATTAGGTATGTTTTGACTGCAGCAATTCATATGTCACTTCTTGTAATGTTGCATAACCTGCATAATGCCTCCTGTATTATGTTGATTCAACTGCTTCATTTTCATGAACGATAGATTGCAGCAGAATTGGAAAATCAAAAGGCACAGGCTGGTGGCTGCTGTCTCTGGCAATGAAGGCTTCTATATCGACTTATTTGACAATTCGCTATATGATTCTACTATCGTGTTCCGACCCTCTTCCTTGTCCACCATCCCTGTTGAGCATGACTCAGCTGGAATGCTTGCTGTCAATTTTCCTCGAAAAAAATGTCACTCTCTTCAGTTTGAGTTTCTTGGATTTAGTTCTGCATATAATTCGAGAAAATCAGGTGAAAACAAAACACCTAGTGTGACCAAGGATTCTTCTAAAGAACATGGGATGGAACATGCAAGCGATGACGAACGTGTGAAGGACATGCATTTAACCCTCCGTGAAGTTCATCGAGCAATACATGATGAGCAGGTAAAAATTTTGCTATCGGTCTTTGCCTTTTGGCTTCTTGTAATTTCCTTTTTTCACGCATGTTCTTATTAATCTGATGCAGAAGTCATTGTGACTTCATGTAATGATTTTGGTAAATTCCAGGTGTTTGATTTGGTAAATCGTGAAGCATGTAATCCATCTTTGTGTGTAAATCTGACTGGTATAAAAGAAAATTATTTACGCCTGAGCATTGGTCAAGGAGCGTCTCTTTCAGTATCACTTGTGTCACCCAGTCAGGAGGATGATCAAACAGTGGGTATATCAGATGGAAATACTAAAGATTCTGAATATGTACCTTTGGAATCCCCTGATGGAGCAAAATATGGACGACTTGATAAAGCAAAGAAATTAGGGTTCCCTAATCAACTTGGTTTCGAGATTTATTTGCGGCAGTTATTTCACGAATATGTTTTTGTGAAAGCGAAAAACAAGTCTATATCCTCGTCTAGAAGTCTGATTCCTGGCCAGCCACTCAAGGACAGTTCAAACATTCTGAGTCATTTCTGCATGTCTCTTGCTCACAGAATCTTCTCAAATAAAGTTCTCTCTGTGCTGGAAAATCTGGTGTGGATTATTTCTTCTTCACACTTGACATAATGTAGTATCAGACGCAAAATATATTATTTATTTATTGAAATTTTCTGATTGATGATGATATCCGAAATTGAGAATGCTACGAATTGGGAATTGAGCTATACATCTTTGCAAGAACTTCTACCTTAAGACATGTTTTTGAACTTGAAGGTTTATAGGACACCATATATCGACTTGATCTCACATCCAACTTGGCATTCTCGGACATCTTCATGGACGCTCTCAATGAAGATTCCTCAGTCAATCCTTAACAGCAGGAGACAAATGCAGACATGTGGAGTCAATGCCTTGAAGAGTGTCAGGTCACAGTTCTGGACTAAGGTGGTAGTTGTTGATGACTCCATTAGTGTTGAAGGCGAAGGTGCTCCCAATGTCGTAGGTTTATTCAAAGGGAAGCCTGAAATTGTTTGCTCGATTAACGG